ATAAATTACTATAACACTAAAGTTAGTTCACCTTCAGTAATGAATTTTTGCTCCTCCGGGACACCATCACCCATGTGGTGAATGTATGCAAAACAGGGTCAAACACTGCTATTCGAATGTGTCTTTCTGCGGGGAAAGTCATTCTTGAGACTTCCTAATTCTTTGACCCCCAACCCCCAGATAGGGTTTCTTTTTGTTGTCCGGTCTGTCTTGGAACTCCCTCTGTAGACCAGGCTGGCCTCAAATTCACAGAGATCCACCTGCCTCTGCCTCCCAAGTGCTGGGATTCAAGGTGTGTGCCACCATGCCCAGCTGACCATCCCTCCTCAAAATCTCACCATAGTCTTTTATGAGCTGCCCATGTGTGTGTCCTCTGGGGATGGAGTCCAAAGCTTCACACATGGTAACTATGCGCTCTACACTGAGATAAACCTTAGTTTCCTTTAATAACTGCCATTCCGCAAGGCTCAATATTTGTTTTATCTCCTCTATTTTATACATTCTTTCCAGGAGATGTGGTTTATTTCCGTAGTTTTATTAACTACCTATGATGCTATTAAATATGAGCCTATCATTTCACTAAAGTGCTTGCCCTTAGCTACAGTCTCTTGCTGTTATTAGCATAGTCTATAGGCTAGTGGTGGGCAGCCTCACTGAGGGTTTCTGTCAATGGAGATTCCCAGGTTTTGTCCCAGACCTCTTGAACCAGAGTTTGCATTTTAACAAGCTCCTAAGATATTCTGTATGCATACTAAAGATAAAGAAGGCCCAGGGCTGTGTCCTATTACCAGCTCTCTAACGGATACTGTTAATAAGATGTAAGCACATTAATCCTGATGTACCTCAACAGAAGAGTCATCTACACACAGAGTCCACGCTGCCCACCTCTTCTATGTCATTTCTATCTACCTGGTCACATTCCTAGCTGTTCTACTAGTAGATGGCTCTTGACTCTATTTCCTCTTCTATGCTAATCACTATTGCTTTCATCTACTCTGAGGTAGATTACCATTGAAGGCCTAGCCGATTTCCTGAGTCACAGCCTCTCTCCCCCGAATTTGTCGGCCAACTACAGTTAGAGATGTATTTCTAAGCTACAAGCCTGAAAGAGATGGAACTCGTGGCTAAATTCCTTTCAGTGACTCTTCAATGTGGAAGTGAGGGTTCTGGCATCCAGAACAGGGTTTAGGAAATCTGAAACTATAAGGAAAATTTGTGTTGTTTTCATTTTCAAGGGACAAAGAAACAGTTTTCATTAGATTTTCTGAGGTGTTCTAGGACAAAGTCAGTTAAGAACGACTAAAGAAAGGACCAAGTTGACAAAATCCAAACTATTTAGTTTGGCATATAAAGACCCGACCCTCCCTCCCTCCCTCCCTCCTTCCCTCCCTCCCTCCCTCCTTCCCTCCCTCCCTCATCTCTCTCCACCTGTCTGCAGGAGCCCACGCTTCCAGGCTTAAGGACAGACACAGCAGTCCCTATGACTTTTCCATCTCTCTGCTTCTGCACTCCCTTTCTGAAACAACCCTGTAGTTGCACATCCTTCTAAGTAGTAGAGCCCGGATGTGCATCCAGGTCTTACTTCAGAGCTCACAGTCAATTCTACAGTGCCATGACATTTCGCATTCTTAGTACTCACAAGTACACCAGATTTCCACCCAAAACAAGTTTCCTGCAATTCTCATGTGTAGATCTCATATATCATAGATATCCTAGGTACGACAATGTATACCAGTGTTGCAGTTCACTAAGTTATAATGCCCCATTAATGAGTTATCACAATCAGTATTAAAAATGCCGCACTAGTCTTTTGCTGATACAGGGAGTTCTCATTTCTGCGCAGCTATTATTTTAGTCCTAGCATTTGCAAAGTTTCGGGACTTCCTAGGAATGCAAAAGCTATGAATGTGTTTGCTAGTGCACTGACCACTTACTATCAGCTTCGACTCAAGCAACCCTCTCAACTGTGCACTAACACCCAGCCCCTCCAGCTGTTCATTTCCAGTCTCCTAGGTCATCAAAACCATCACCTAGCAAATCAACACTAATTTATCACCAAGTAAAGCTATAAATCTTGTATAAAATACAGGATATCAGGGACTGAGCACACAAAATTGAAAACATCAGTATGGTAAACTAATTCATAACTGAAAAAGAAGAAAATAAATAAGGATCATGATTGTTAAATGTAGTTTGGAAGAGGCTGTGGTGAATACTAAGAAGATTAAGGAGAAGCTTGCAGGAAAACAGGTGAAATCCTTGAATATCCTGGCCCAAATCAGCCCTTAATAACCATGCTGCAAGAATCTCACAGGATCCAACACATCACCTTGAAATACCATGCAATTTTGTTTAAAAAAATAGACCTTAAACAAAATCCACCAACCCTTGGCATGTTGTTTGTTTACTGGGGGAAGTGCATAGTTTTATACACGCTCATTTGTACGAAACAAGGAAACCAAACTAACGGGGCTTTCTCCTTACTCGGCCTCGCATCCTAATCAGGCTCCAAACACCCCTCCTTTAAAAAGGTTTGTGTCCATTTTATGTGTAAGGGTGTTTTTCCCGCATGTGTATACGTGTGTGCCCGGTGCCATTGAAGGTCAGAAAAGGACACCATATCCCTTATAACTGGAATTATGGACAGTTTTGAGCCACCACGTGGGTGCTAGGAACTGAACCCAGGTCCTGTGCAAGAACAGCAGTTGCTCCGTTGAGCCATCTTTCCACACCCACCTCCCCCTTTCTACAGCTACAGTCTCACTATGTAGCTCAGGCTGGTCTCAAACTCGCAATCCTCTTGCCTCTGCCTCCAAAATTCTGAGGGTACAGGTATGCACTGCATTGTCACGTTAGTACCCCTTGAAAATGGCTTCACTAGGTGACCACTTGTCTAGTCTCACTTGAAAAATAAGAACCTCCCATATGCTTGTTTCCTTAGCGTATGACATACAGCAAGGGCTTACTGTTTGCTAAATGAATGACTGCAATTGTATCTTCTGCCCCTGACTCAATAGCATACTGAAATATACCAAAATTCTTCAATAAGTCCTCGCCAACACCAGGAAAAAAGCCCTACTCCTTAGCACAAAACACAAAACTTAGTGATGCTGGCCTGACTTGTCCTCATCCTCTGGCCGTCTCACTACTGTGGCTCGCCAGCTGCAGCATACTGCTGCTAGGCTGCCATCAATCCTTCTGCCTGGCAATTCCTTCCCTACCAAATGAGAGAGAAACTGACTCCCTTCTCGTTACATACCACCTTATACCTGATTACAAGCACACACACTCACTACCCCACATCAGCACTGCCTCCCATTCATAAAAATAACGTCGTACAGCAGAGAAAAGAGAGGAGACCGAAACAGAGGTGGGGATAAGTGTATATGCACACAAACTTTAAAGTGCCTTGAAAACTTGTATTTTGTATTGGTTTTAAAATTGATCTCATACATTTACACAAGGGAGTACAGCAGAAAAAAATAACAACAGCTTGAATTTTGCAGGAAAATGGATTGAGCTAGAAAACATCATTTTGAGTGAGGTCACCGAGACACAGAAAGACAATTATCACATGTACTTACTCATAAGTGGCTTTTAAACATAAAGCAAAGAAAATCAGCCCACAATTCACAATCCCAGAGAACCTAGACAACAGTGAGGACCCTAAGAGAGACATACATGGATCTAATCTACATGGGAAGTAGAAAAAGACAAGATCTCCTGAGTAAATTGGGAGCATGGAGACCTTGGGAGAGGGTTGAAGGGGAGGGGAGCAGAGAAAAATGTAGTGCTCAATAAAAATCAATAAAATAAAAAAATATTAAAAGAAAAAAATAAAATTGATCTCATACATATACATATAAAATATACACCCATATTATACTTGTGAAGTCAGCTATTTTGTTATATTTTAAGATTTTTCCAGGTGTACAAAATTTTTATGAGTCTAATCTAAATGAATGTATGCTATAACTACTTGCCCTTTAAAAACAAAACTGACATTATATGAAAGGCATTATTTTCCCTACTTATGCAGTCATCAACCCACCATTTTTTTCTGCTTTTTTGAGACAGGGTCTCACTATGTAGTCCTGGTTGTTCTAGAACTCATTATGTAGACTAGGCTAGCCTCAAACTAACAGAGTTCCACCTACCCTGTACTGGAATTGCCACCACACCCAGCTCTAATCAGCATTTTTAATGGCTATATAATATTCCAGAGAGAATGCTACCTGACCATTCTGCTATTGTTGAATGTTTAGCTAGCCTTACTATTGACTTGGGGTGGTTTAAATAAGTGAGAAAGTATCACTGTCATACACAGTCATACACAAAATACCGTATTTTGGATTATCTATTTTAGAATATCTATTTTTAGAATAGATTATCAAGAGTCATCTGAAATTTGGCAGGAAGGAAAAATACATATTTCAATCTCTCTATGTGGTGCTAAGTATTCTTTTTTCTACCACTTGTATATTTGTGTCTTTTTGTCTATCTATGAGAGTACCAGTGTTAAACTAACTAGAATAATGAGTTTAACTCCTCATTATGTGCTCGATTTTTTTTTACATTTTTAAATACAGGTTTAAAGTGTACTTTTGCCTCTTTTTATTTTGGTAAATCTCAGCTTTCAGAGCAGTTATAGCTACGAAACTTTGTAAAGTAGAGAAACACACACACACACATGCACGCACACAGACACACACATTTAAATCATGAGCTAGGCGTCCCGGTGCATGCCTGTAGTTGTACTGCTTGAAAAGCAAGCACAGGAGGAATTCTGCCAAATTGAAGCTAGCCTGGGTTTCAGAGTTAGTCCTGTGCCAGCCAGAGCCACAAAGGGAGATGATGTCTCAAAACCAACAAAACTTAGGAGTACCTCTGCCACTGTAAGATGACCAGTGAACTCATCCCCACTGCTTTCCTCATATGTGCAGTGAGCGAGCTAATTACAATATACATACAATTTTAAATACTGCATATATATATATATATGTATGTATAATCAGTTTTGAAATACCCTATCATTTTCATAACCGCCATTAAAAATAATAGCACGAGGGCCTGGGATATATGTAACTCAGCGGCAGAGCACGTGCGACACATGTAGGCCTTCGGTACAGTCCTTACAAAAGAACACACACACAGAAACAAAGCAAAAAAGCATACCATACATAATATTTCACCGAGTAAATTCACCATTCCTTTATTCTGTCTTGCTAGATGCTCTATTTTTTTACATTTTTACATACAGGTTCAAAGTGGCTTTCTGCACTGGGGTTGCTTGTCTGTAGTCCTGGGGACAGAAGGCAGGCTCTGCGCTTCCATGCTCGCCACTGACCTGTACCCCGGCATCAGCTTGTTTAAATTTGCATTTTTGGTTAGTAACAAACATCTTCTCGTATCTTCTGATTGCACTCAAACTGTTGTGTAAACTGTCTGTCGGTGCTCTTTTCCATATCTCTGCTTCTACATCGCGAGGCATGTGTGCCTTCAATGACACAAGCCCATCGCACTTTGTCATCTTTAGGCCACATGGCCCTTGTCCGTTTGTGTTTATCTTTCATTTTTACTGTGGCTTAAAAAACATTTCTGTTATATTGGTTTTTAAATTTTAAATTATAACATTTTGATCTTTTCCCTTGAAAATATTTCCTGTTACCTCCTAAACTTAGAAACTTAGTTCTTGTTAGAAGCTTCATATTCATCATCATAGTTTTGTAACTTGCTTTTTTCTATTTAACTCTTCAGTCCAACTGCCACCTATTTTAGTTTACGACAGGAGATGAGCATGGAAGTGCCACGAGCTGTCTCAGCGTGATCCGATGAACAGCCCTTCTATCCTTACTATGCATCCTCCAATGCAGAGTAGATCAAGAAATTATGGCTCCAATCGTGATGTTCATTTCTAATCTTGGCTCTCAGGAGGCTGAGGCAGGAGGACCATAAGTTTTAGGGCAGCTTTGGCTATGCAGTGGGATTCCATCTCAAAAAACAAAAGGAAAGAATCATTTGTGTCACACCAACAAGATAAGTATGTTTATCAATACACATTGATCCCCATTAAAACTCCGGTCCTGCGTCAAGGACAAGTAAATTTTTGGTCTTAACATTCTTCATTCTTCCACACATGATTAAGCGTTGCTCATGAGCGCAAGGTGAAAGTGGAAACAGCTGGATCCTGCACTGCTTTGATCACTCTCTATCTTCATTTTTTGAGGCAAGGTTTCTTAAACCCAGAGCTCATCGATTCTGGCTAGTCTAAGCTAGCCAACTTGCCCTGGGAATGCAGTCCCGTGTCTTGGCCGGCCTCTTTAGTGTGGGGATTATTGGAAGCCATCATAATTGCCCAGCTTTTGACTGAGATCTGTGGATCAGAACTCCGGTTCTCATGCTTGCACAGCAAGCTCTTTATCCGCAGACCTACCTCTTTAGACCCCTTTGCAACATTAGGTTCCCACCTGTGATCTCCATACTGCTTCTTAGCTATACATTCCTACCCTGTTCAGGCTTTATTCAAGACAGAACACAATCTCAAAGTTCTTAAAGCTCCCCTGTCCTCCAGATCCTGGAGAAACTATGTACACATTAGATTGCGAGGAGACAGAACAAGTGACCTTTGAAATGACCTTTGAAAAAATGTATGGAGGCATACTTTACAGACTATAATTTGACAGTGGTCATTAGGTGAGGGAAATATCAGTACAGATTTATTAACTAGTATAGAGATTCCAGTAGAAATGCCTCTTTGAAAACAAAGTAAAGCACATCATCAAAGGCACAGATAAAATACTAAACTGTTTAGACAAGACTGAGCACCTTAAATGGACATACAGACTTCAGACATATAAAGATGAAATAGCAGGTCAGGGATGTATCTCGGTGGCAGAGCACTTGCCTGACATGCTTGAGGTGCTAGGTTCAGTTCCCAGCAAGGAAACTTTCAGAGTTCAGTAGGTAGAGTGCTTGCATAGCATGAAGGAAGCCCTGGGTTCAACCCTCCGTACTGCACAAACCAGACCTGCTGTAACACCAGCACTTGAGGTAGAGGCCTGAGGATCAGTAGTTCAAGGTCATTCTTGCCTACAAAGAGAGCTTGAGGCAATCAATCAATCAATCAATCAATCAATCAAAAATATATGCAGCTGGGCAGTGGCGGCGCGTGCCTTTAAGCCCAGCACTTGGGAGGTGTTGAGGCAGGTGGATCTCCAACTTCGAGGTCTGCCTGGTCTACAGAATGAGTTCCAGGACAGCCAGGGCTACTCAGAAAAAGGGGGGGGGGGGGGAAGTGCCATAACAGTTGACTGCCAGCAGGTGGCACTTGACCCACAGCAAAGTATGGAGGAAAAACAAATTCTGAAATCAAAGAATGCTACCAAGTTCCCAGGACACCGTCGGTAGATGAGTCTTTCACACAGAAAGCTGGGACTGCAGATATTTAAGGAAGAGGGCAGTAGTCTGTAACAGCGACAGTCTGTTCAGCTGTCTGTGTTGGGCAAGGAATAAGGCCCCTTCTCCCATCCCTTCTAGTGTTGTGGTCGGGCTACGAGTTAGCATAATAATTAATTAACCAGAGAAAAATCATTTTATTCATTTTCATATATACATTGGAGCCTTATTATTAACGAGACTGAGAAGCCCAGATGACGGACGATGACATAGCATCCAGAGCTACTGAATAAGGAGTTTCTGGGGAAATGGCGGAGACATGTGACGGGGACTGAGGGGAGAAAACACATGGCAAATAGCGAAAATGCCTCGAACCCCTCTCTTCCTCCTAGATACTGTTGCTGTGTGCTCTACCCTGTGGCCGAAGGGCCTGGATTTGTGTACCAACTGACTCACTGGACTTGGTCAGCTGCCCTAGGTCGACAATGAGAGAAAATGAGAAACAGGAAAGAGGAGTTTAGCAGCAGCTCAGCCTAACCAGGCAGCTAACCTGGACTTTCCCAAGGCATCTCTTACGACCCATTAAACTTAGTCAGACTTGGTCTCTCCGAGGAGCACACTATCTTATGCCAGTGTTTCCATTATTCTGGCTTTGTACACTGAATATTCGGTAGCACTAGTCTTTTTGCAGGATTTTCTAAAAGAACCCTTATATAAATTTCAAATGCAGTGATTTCTTATATCATCCCCAAGATATCAATTTTTTGATGGCAGGATTGGGTTATTTCCTTAGAATAGACTTCTAAGAATTTTGTATGAACATATTTCCCACTCTCAACACTAGTAAAGTTTTCACGAAGCCAGTTACAAAAGAACCCTGTCAGCACCTGAACAGTTTCAAATCAAAGATTGTTTTTTCAGTTGGGTGCGGGGGGGGGGGGGGGCGTAGACTTTGCTTCAATTTCCCTACCTCCCATTACTAAAGAGAAAAACCATGTGCTTGCCACATACAGTTTAGTCAATGCTGGTTTAAGGAATGGGATCTAGGAATCTGTGCTGCGTGTACCTGGGACGTTTAAACAATGTGACTGCAATGGAGAGAAGAGCACGTGGAAACCTGACGGGCAGCTTAGGGCAGGGACCCTCGAGCAGCAGTTCCAGGAATGCCCAGATGCTGGCAGGGAGCTCTGCTTTCTTATCTCCTCTTAGTGAGTGTCCTTGCTTCCCTGTGGGTGTGAGCAGAACTCCGCAACTCTAAAGGGCTTCTGGCAGACAGCTCTGGAACTGGAGCTCTGGATTTTCAGGATGGAAATATTGGATCTACCCAGTCCTTAATTTCAGCCTATCTCCTAAATGACGTCAGGGTTTCATCTTCAGAGCAGAGACTGTTGGGATATCTGGTGGAGATAAGAAACCAGAAGTTCTGGCTCTGGCAGGAGACTTAACAGTCCAAGCTACTAAAATGAAAGAGGTAATTAAAGTAAGGCCTAGAGCCCACCTTAGGCATGCTGAACAAATGGGAGGAACAATTCACACCCTCAATGAGAAGATGTACTTTTCCTTTCCATCCCAGAAATCCCACCCTCCCACCTCACTTGGGTATGGTTGCTCCTGGAGCCTTCCCTGGGTTAAGCCTGCTTGCTTTTCTGAATTACTTAGATAAGTATAACTGTTCCTTTTTCTCCCCTCCCCTCCCCCTACACACACACACATACACACACACACACACACACACACACACACACACACAGAGAGAGAGAGAGAGAGAGAGAGAGAGAGAGAGAGAGAGAGAGAGAGAGAGAAGAGAAGAGAAGAGAAGAGAAGAGAAGAGAAGAGAAGAGAAGAGAAGAGAAGAGAGAGAGAATATGTATACACACATACACATATACACCCAGATGCTGGCCATAATCTAGACATGCTTCTCCTGATACTCTGGGCTTTCTCACTCTTTTTCTCTGAAGTTATTACTACCCCTGACTCCTAAGCACTGATTTCTTCCATGTGGTGGTTTACAAAAGGCATGATTTTTCTCTCTTCTTTTTTTTTTCCTGCTACCTAGCAGCTACCAAGATTTACAGCTTTCCAGCCCTAAGGGTTTTCTTTTAAAGACTAATTAAATTGTCATTGTCCTCGGGCTTCCTACTGAGTCTTTTTTTAAAGACAGAGTCTCACTAAGCAACTCTAGCAAGACCAGAACTAAGAGGTCTGCCTGTTTTGTCTCCTGAGCACAGGGGCCTGAGTCTCTTCTTAAATTCTTTAATTAGTGGGACTAAAACTCAAGAGGAAACCCCAATTTGCCCAGTAACATGTGACACTCCAGGTTGGGCTCCCCAAAATTTCCTAGTAACAATAATAGGTAGCGCCTAGCTTCTAAACTAATAAGCCTGTTCTAGGGGTGTCAAGAACACCTTGGAATTCGGACTTGACTTAAGTCAATGCCCAGAAACTAATTTACGATCACTACAGTCTGTCTGTTTCCAGACAGGATCAGCAGAAAGCTGTCTTCAGCACTTAATGAAGCGAGCACCTTCACACCTGCAGCCAGACTGACTCCACTCCAAGTACAGCCTCTGGCAGAAACACAGCGGTAAGAAGTGGCAAGGTATGAAAGTGCCCCAACTCCTAGCAGGTCTTCTGCAGCAAAGGGAAACGGGAAATGACAGCGCACTTGCCAGAGCAAGCACGCTCGTGAAGCCACAGGGCTCCCTTACTCCCTGTGCCCAAAGGACAGAGAAGTCCTGGATGTAGAAAATCTTGTTCTTCTTTTTTATTCTTTGGCTTTAATAAGAAAAGATCCTGTTTTAATTTTGAACTTAAAAAAAAAAAAAAGCTAACAAAAGCGGGCTATTCTCTTTGTTTAAGACCATGTGGAATCATTACTAAGACGTCAGTTTTCTATTGTCTAGGTAGTAGACTGTAGTTATTTAGTTTTACAAGGACTTCTTTGGCCAAGAAATCTGTCCATTTGGAAAAGAATAGTATTGCATACTACTATGCAGATTTGCACACGCTACAATTGTAGTGCCTTTCAGTCTGAAGGAATCAAATGCTGGGTCCTTTTTACTGAAGACCAAGGTCTTGGTTGGCTGCACCCCATTTGTGAAAGACAGCCGCTTTCTTTCACTCAGACGGCAGGCACACTGATAAGTTCAAAATCCCCCTTCCCTCGCAAGTATTAAGTAACAGAGCAAATGAGATGGCAGATGCGGAAGAAGACCTTGTCGTTCTTGTCACTTTCCTCGATTCTTTTGAAGCCTTTTGTTCTATGTCTAGTCTCATCAATTAGCTACTTATTCAAACACCCATTTCTTACTTCTGTCAAGTAATGGCTCTGACATGCTCCTCTCCCAACACCTCCATGATCAACTTCTCCCGACTGCCAATCTATCTTATATACTACACATATTCCCTTAGTACCATAATTTATATTATCTTCTAACTATTCGAATTCTGTTCCTGTTCCTAGAGCCAGGTCCCTGAGACAGGGAATTTCCAAGGAATGCGTAGGTTGTCTAGCTACTTCCTTTTCCCTGTCCCTGATGAAGAACCTGGGGTCTAGGGAGGTCTGGACAAGTTTGCAGGAAAACTAGGCATACCGCGCAGATGCCTTGACTTTCAGTTCAGTGTTTTCCACTGCATTAGGTCATTTATCTTACTTGCATCTTTTCAGAACTCCTTATAAAACGCTAGACATATTCGTGGTTCCCTTGAGTATCAGTATAACAAGTGTACAGGTTTATCTAACTGAGAGATTGACCAGGGAAAGAGTAAGAAGGCAGAAAGGCATTTCCTTACTTCTTTGCGTGATGCCACCCTCCAGACCAGTTAATCGCTATTTTACACTTCCCGTCAATCAGGCACTGGGCAGCAGTGATTGTAGCTCCTCCCACAGCAGCCGCATAGTCAAATATTCCTTCTGTGGCTGGGCAGTCATAACCTGGGGGCAGAACCCAGAAAAATCTGTTAAAGAAGATCTGGGGAAGGAAGAATAGGTTAAGCTGTGTCAACAGCACAGCCTAAAGAAGGTTCTGGGCTAAAACCAGCTCCACTGGGGACAGATAAGCATCTCCAATGTTAGACAGGGAAGGCTTTCAAAGGTTAGAAATAGAAAGGGTAAAACCTTCAAGATGAACTTCTCATATCCCACCAGCAGTCCATCAAGGCCCGAGAGGTGATGTATTTTGCCAGTGGTCACACAGAGCCAGGCCTGGGACCGGGTCTTTTGATAGCCCCACCTAGTATCTTTCTTTAAGCCACACAGTTTCTCTAGAAGAGTGGTGCCTTTGACATCGCAGTATGCTGCTGTCGCCTACAAATGTGTTGGGCCCTATTCATAGCTATCGTGGGAGGCATGTGGCCCACGAGCTGCAAGCTGGACACACCTGCACTAGACCATGCTGTTGACAATTCACTGTGATTTTTTTAAGGCATCTGTTGATGAAGGATAAGGTAGGAAAATTAGCCAGAATTTAAACATTTACCTAATGCCATGCATGGTGACGCATACCTTTAATCCCAGCACTTGGAAGGCAGAGGCAGGTGAGTTCCATGCCAGCCTGGGCTTTACAGTGAGACCCTGTCTTGGAAAAATTAAAAAAAAAAACCTCAAACCAAATAAGTCAATACTTAAAATATATGATCACTACAGCTAGTGCAGCCCCAAGTGCTGCCCTTAGAATCTTAGCACTGAGCGATTCTTCTCCATCAGTCTCATGGTTCTCTTGTGTTCGACTCATAGAGTGTTCACAATATGACCAGACTGAGGGATTAAAATGAACAGTTGGGGCTTGAGATGTAGCTAAGGCAGAGTGCCTCATTAGCATATCCCAGGACCTGGGTTCCACCCTCAATAACACACACAGGCACAGACAGACAGACAGACACACACACATACAGACACATGTGCACACATGCATCAGTTATATTATTTCTTAATTTAAAAGTATCGGGCCACAGAGGTGGCTAGCAGTTAAGAGCATTTTTTTACTCTTCCAGGGGACCTGGGTTCAATTCTCAGAATCCACATGGCAGTTTCCAAACATCTCTAACTTCAGGTCCAAGGGCTCTACGGCCTCTTCTGACCTCCACTGGCACTGCATGCACGTGGTACACACATACACTCAGGCACACAGGCGTACACATAAAACTTAAAGATAAAAAAGAAAAGAAACAAGTATTAAGGGTTAGGGAAGTAGCTCAGTCAGTAAGATGCCTGGCACACAAGGATGAGGGCCTGAGTTCAGATTCCTGGCATCCATGTAAAAGCCGGCACACGAGGCATGAATGTGTAACCCCAGCACTGGAGGGGTGGAGACAAGTAGATGCTTGGAGACCACTGGCCGTCCAACCTGGTCAAAATGGTGAAGTTCAAGTTCAGTGAGAGCCTCAAAATGTAAGGTGGTGAGTGATTAAAGAAGACACCCAGAGCCAGGTGGTGGTGGCACATGCCTTTAATCCCAGCACTCAGGGGCAGAGGCAGGTGGATCTCTGTGAGTTCAAGCCCAGCCTAGTCTACAGAGGGAGGCCCAGGACAGTCAGGGCTACACAGAGAAGCCTTGTCTCAAACGAAACAAAACAAAAGACACCCAGTGCTGACTTTTGGTTCCACGTGTGTACCAGCAGACACAAGCACACTACTGCACATACACACATCCTTCTACATAAACACAGAGAGACAAATTAAGTACCATAATCTACAAGCTGGGGTCCCACTGTTGCCCGAGGGACTCTTACCTAGTCCGTATTCTATAGAGTCCGGATGGTCCTCATCACCTTCTTGGCTGACCTTTTGGAGATGTTGCAGATAGGCATCAGTGTGGAAGGTGGCCATATCCTCCATGGAGGCCACTTTGGGCTTCACTATCCTAATAATAACAGCGTGGACATACAGAAGTACATGAGACTCAGAGTATGCAAAGAGCTGGAAATAGCAGTCAATATCTGAACAGAAAAGACAACTCCCAGCTTCTGGTTCCAGTGAGCCGAAGTCATAAACACACTGTCGCTCTGCTGCACTGCCCAGCCTTCACTTCCTCCATCTATGATACTGACCCCACTAATAAGAGACAAGAAGACAGATTTTTTTCTTTTGGGTTTTTAGGTAGGAAACGATAACTGAAAAACCATATTTAACTCAAACAGATAATCTTGGGTCAAGGTCCCTGGTTTAGCCACATAGAACGCATTAACCCGGGGCCAGAAGGATGGCTCAGGGGGTAAAGGCATCTGCCATTAAGCCTGCCAACCTGAGTTTAATCCCTGGGACCCACATTGTGGAGGAGAGAACCAACTGCCCTGGCAAGTTGCCCTCTGACCTCCATGTGTGCTCTCTGGTACACACATCCCCCTAAAGAAATACGTATCATTTTTAAAAAAATTAAAAGAGCTCTGGAGCTGGAGAGATGGCTCAGGGGTTAAAAGAATTTGTTGCTTTTGCAGAGGACTGGGGTTCAGTTTCCATCTCCCACATGGTGACTTACAACCACGTGGAACTCCAGTTCGAGATCTGACCTCCATAGGTACCAGGCGCGCGCGCACACACACACACACACACACACACACACACACACACACACGCCAAGCACTCATACACATAAAATAAGTAATCATAAAACTATATGTCTAGAAGGCTGAAATATAAGCTTTACTCCGTAAGTTACATCTCATGAGAAAGCAGGAAAGCTAGTCACGTTTGAATCAGTTTCTGCTTGGACCAGGCAATTCTTTCAGTGTAGTCTCTTGCTTTAGTTTTGGTGCTGAGCCTTGTCCCCTCTCCCCCACCCCGCATCCCTCTGTGACTATTTGAATAGGCAGCTGGGTTATCAAGCAGAATTTGAAGCCAGAGAACTGAATTCCTTTCCTAACTCCGTACTTACTAGTTCTGTTAACTTCAGGTGAGTTGACTGTTCTATACCTCAGCTTTCTCATCTGTAAAATGGGTCAGTTTAGTGGACTTATGTGGAGATGAAATAACATATACAAAACTTCATGGACAACTAGCATTAATATTAGAGTAAAAAGGTGGGAAACTGGACGGGGGATGCAGAGCAGTTATACAACATCTGCCTGTCATGGGCAAGGCCCTACGGTTGGTGCCAAACGCTGCAGAAAAAGGTAATATGTTAGATATGGTGGCAAATGTCTGTAATCATAGCACTTGAGAGGCAGGAGAATCATGAGTGTGAGGCTAGCCTAGGCTACACAACAAGTTCTACACCAGACTGGGCTCTATAAGAGTGTCTCAAAAAAAATGAGAAGTCAAATGTAAAAAGTGTTTATTTATGGGGGGCTGTATGGGCACAAATGCAGGGGTTTTTGCAAGCCCGTGCATGCACAGAGGCCAGCAAAGGAGGCCACAATCCTGCTCTGTAACTCCCACCCTATTCCCTTGAGACAGGCTCTCTCACTGAATCTGAACTTGGAGTTAGACTGGTGATCAGCAAGCCCCAGCAATTTTTCTGACTCTTGTTTATCCCTGCCAAGACACCGGGGCTACATGGATGTGTGACACAATCCAGCTTTTCCTCTAGATTCTGAGGACTTGAACTTGGGTCCTAGTGTTTGCATAGCAAGTGCTCTTACTTTCTGCTTCATCCTTCCAGTGTCCTCAAACATAAAGTTTCTATTACTTGTTCTCTTCTCTCTGTCTCCCAAGGAAGGACAGAAGGAGCAAACGGCTAGAATCTCTCACCCTGCTCCCCACAGTGAGCAAGAAAAGGAAGAAAGGAGAGAATAAAGGAAGCAAGTTACATGGGGATTTTGGCCTCGAACCTGCTGAGTCTCCATCTTCACTTCTGGATTCTGCTGCAGTTAAGTAAGTTCTCTAACCCTTGCCAATGAATGGGTAGGTAGTGAACACACTAGCAGCATGGAGTTTCTTTCTTAGAAAAGCAAAGCTCAAGTCTGAATCTAGGCCCAATGAACCACAATTTGTATTCTAACAAGAACACACACACAGGTTTATCAAGACCGGGTTTCTCTGTGTAAGCTGTCCTGGAACTCCTTCTGTAGACCAGGCTGGCCTCGAACTCACAGAGTGTTAGGATTAAAGGTGTGCACCACTACTTCTGGCTTCATATCAATCTTAACATGATGATTGCCCATTTAAATTGAAGGAGCACCACTCTAGCCGTGTATATTCTTCAAATGAGAGTAGAGCCATGAGGTTATCGTGAACTAATACAGGTAGGATATTTAGGTAACTAGTATAACCAAGGTGTTTGAAATCCTGTCGTTCAACTTTAAAAGTTAGAGTCAAAATCAAGGATTCTTGATTTTTCTTCAAGTACTCATCTATACCATGAGAGGCGAAAAAGTTGTCCATTAAAATAAAAATCTTAGGGCCAGCAAGATGGCTCAGCAGGTACAAGAACTTGCTACCAAGTCTGATGACCTGAGTTCAATCCCTGGACCCACATGGTGGAAGAGAGAATCAACTCCCGCCAAGTTGTTTTCTGACCTCTGCATATGCACTTGGCTGACCACTCCCTCACACACTCAACACCCCATCAAAATAAATAAATGCAATGTTAATAAAAATGTTTAAAATAAAAATATCAAGAAGCCTGGTGTAATGGCACATGCCTTTAATCCTAGCACTCAGGAAGCAGAGACAGGCAGATCTCTGGGAGTTCAAACAGAGCTAGTTTCGGGACAGAATATGTAAGAGGGCCAGTTTCAATTTTTTTCACAATCACAATCATATTGGATTATGTTTCCCAGCTTCTCCAAATGTTTTCTCTTACATTTATTACTTATTTCCCTGAATCCTAAAACTAAAGAATACTGTCAGCCTCTCCTGACCAGCAAGCTAACGAGTCTTGCTTTAACATCTTATTTGCAATAGAATATTTTTAAGTGTTGATTGTGTGTGTGTGTGGGGGGGGAATCTAGGCCTCAGGTATGTTAGACAAGTGTTCTATACACTGAACAATATCCCAAACCTCTTTAAAATTTTTGAGACAGATTCTGGCTAAGTCACAAAGCCTGACTTAGAATTTGTGACGCCCCTCCAGCACCACCTGGCTTAGAAAAGTGTTAAAATCCTTTAAGGAAAGGCAAATCATTATCTTGACAAACACAGGAGTTAAGCAATGGTAGAAAAACATTCCTAGCCAGAAGTGGTGACACACACCTTTTGACGGAGGCCTGTGGATCTTAATAAATTCAAGGCCAGCCTAGTGAATGTAACAGTCCCTAGCCAGACAGAGCTACACCAGAGACCTTGTCTCAAAGCAACAGCAAAACATTCCTAAAGAATGTACACACTGTCGGGAGGTGGTGGCGCGTGCCTTTAGCTCCAGCCCTTGGGAGGGAGAGGCAGGTGGATCTCTGTGAGTTCGAGGCCAGCCTGGTCTACAAATTGACTTCCAGGAGAGCTAGGACTGTTACATAGAGAAACCCTGTCTTGAAAAACCACACAATGAACGTACATATTATTATTTTTTTTTTTGCTTTTCGAGACAGGGTTTCTCTGTGGCTTTGGAGCCTGTCCTGGAACTAGCTCTTGTAGACCAGGCTGGTCTCGAACTCACAGAGATCCGCCTGCCTCTGCCTCCCGAGTGCTGGGATTAAAGGCGTGCGCCACCACCGCCCGGCTTATTATTATTATTAAAATGACTAATAATACTAAGGATAAAATCTAAAAACATATTACATTACTTTCTGGGAGGGAAATGAAGCATTAGATGATACAGTCACTCACCCAGTCATGAGAAAACCTGACTTGCATGTGCCACGTCCGTAAGAGTTGCATTTATGATATTATACACAGAATAGGAAATCAATGGAAAGTTGGTTTTGGTATGTTTTTGAGATGCATGTTGCTAGCTTTTAAGTTCTGGCTTGTTTTCAACAGATTGGGTGGTGTAAAGTTTGGCGATGATAGTGGAGTAGTATATCTAAAAGTCTCAAGTTGAGCCCACATCCTCAAATCCAGCTTTAGAAAACAAATAAAACCAAACCCAAAGCAAATATAAAACACACTGAACACTTCCCTGCTTAACCCCTCCCCACCCGCATCAAAAAGATCTTAGCATCTGGCAAGTGCTTATCCAGCAGCACTTTATTTATTATGGCTTCATGGGTGACAATGTTGAGAAAGGTCAACATACTTACCTTATTTGTTTGTGCAGGGCATATGCTTCGATCAGAGAGTGGACCATACTGGCCTGAAATATCAGCATGAAAAAAGAAAGACAAAACAGTCTCTTCAAGGCTCAATTTACTGAAATCCCATTAACAACATCCTGCATGAAGAACTAACTACTTTATCTCTTCTCTCTTGTCACTTTGTCAGTTGGGAAAAACTTAAGACAAAACAATACAAAGCATTAAAATCGCCAGGCTACCCAGTATACTGAACACAAGTGATGGCATACTGTCCTCCAACAGCTTGTGGTCAAGGACATCAATGAACCCAGCCTATTAGAACCTCCACTCACCACTTCACCGTTTCTTTCTCTCCCCCCGCCTTCAGATCTCCCGCCCTCACCCTCGGCTCGGACGTCCCGTCGTGCTCCCCAAAGGTAACAAACCACTTCCTTCTGCCCCAGCTTGGTGTACCTGAAACGGCTAGTTAAATTTTTGTTTAAGGTATCACTCAAGTCTAGTTTTCCTGGTTTCCTAACATACTCCCTTTTACACCCTCCCACTCCCATCCCCCCAAACGGTGGTCTTTCATCCAGACCTCTTACCCGTTTGGGGATCTTGACGAGAGAGTCGCAAATGCTGACATACTCGGGACTATAAATATAAACCGGGGGCAGCGAATGCCCACTATCGGCCGGTTCCTCTGGCATCTCCATCTCCCACTTCCGACCGTCCCTGAGCCAAAGTCCGGACCCGACAGTTTGCGGACACAGCCTGGGCTCCGGTTCCTGCGCCTCTGTTCGGCCCCAGCGGTGTTCCCTGTTCAACATTCCCTCTTATTTAGATTGCCGGAGACAGTTTGCCTGGTCCCTCGCCCAGCTGAGGGAATGAATGGGCCCTCCCATACCAAATCCCTTCATTTAATGACTACAGTTCAAAAAAAGAGCTTAACAGATATAAAAGCCCAAATGGCTGCCAATTGGCATCGATTTTTTTTCAAGGCACAAGCAGCAGGGTCAAAACTAACCAGCCTTGTTGCCCTACGGGGCCATTTGAAATGAGGTCAGATTAGCTTCAGAGCATGCTGGGAGATGTAGTTTTAAGAGAGTAAGATAACGGAAGAGTTACAGCTGAACACTAAAAGCTGCGATTTCAAGTTTTGGCGCTAAAAAGGAGCCTCAACTCTTTTAAGTTTTCAGTCTGTAAATACAGCCATTTAAATGTTTAGAGGTTTAAATACATTTTTAATAGCCACATAAGACCCACCACCATCCAGCTACATCAGCCGACTGTACTAAGAACAGGCTTTGAGGGGCTGTGGGATTAACTCACTGACTGGTTTGGAAATTTTACACAGCAAATTTCGTGCTGCAACTTTATTTCTACTTTTCCTCACGATCCGTTAAGAGCTAACAATTTCACCAGTAATCTACTCTGACAAATCAGCTATCCCCTTCCTGAAACTGACTGAGATTGTGAAAATTGTAAGGTAGAATTTAACCAAAGAAAAATAACAGCATCTTCCTGGATCTTTCGCGTGATGGAAAGTGCGGGATGTCGCCCCAAAATTTGGAAAACGCAGCTCCCTCCCACATTTCCTTTCATTCGCTTCTGCAGCTAAACAGTGCTTAGGGTGAATGTTTTCATTTTGGCTTGCAGGGTGTTAGTGTGCCTTCAGGTAGTGTAGTTTTGGGTTTCTGGATGCCTCCATGATCTGAGCCTAGCTGGTCAGTTCCCAGACCCCCAACACTCACACCATCCTGAACTGACCTACTGAGGCCTCTGAAACAAGCCCACATGTGTAACTTCATTTTGTGATAGGCACTTTGGTTATTATCTTAGTGAATCCTTTCAACAGTTCTGTGAAGGAAGCTGTAATATGCTTACTTTACAGCGTATTCTGAAGAGAAAACGTCATTCTTAGCCACACACTGAAGTAGGAAAACAACCCAAAATCAGATCTACCTGACAATGAAAATCGAAATACTCCTTTTACTACATGAACTTGATTCTTCCAGGTTGACTTTGTGCTACACATGTGGTCAATAGTCCATTTATTATCTCCTTGATACATAATATTCTTGCAATCTTGGGGCGTATACATGTGTTCTCCAGTTAGAATGGATCCAGTCATGCTTCCTTTGTATTCTTCCATAGGAACTAGTTCAAAGTGCGGTCATCACTCAGCTACTCAAGTAATTTCATCAACTCTGTGAACTCAAAGATGCAATGTACTCTCAAGGAATCGGCATCATTATACAGAAAATAAGGGAACTATAAAAGAAACCATGTCAATACAGGTCCAGATAATGAATGTAAGGTGCTTAATTTACCTAACAAAATAAGCCTTAAGAGCCGGGCGGTGGTGGTACACGCCTTTAATCCCAGCAGAGGCAGGCGGATCTCTGTGAGTTCAAGGCCAGCCTGGTCTACAAGCGCTAGTTCCAGGACAGGAACCAAAAGCTACGGAGAAACCATGTCTCGAAAAATAAAAAAAAAAGCATTAAGTACTTAAATAATGAGTATTCAATAAATGGTTAAGCAGCGTTCTTAGTAGCATTTGAGACAATCTCAGTGAATGTACAATATTGTGCTTGGTGAGGATGGGACGCCATGCTGACTGGAAGGAACAGCTTACATAAAAATACAAAGAACTGGGGCTGGAGAGATGTCTCAGCAGTTAAGAGCGCTGGCTGCCTTTCCAGGGGACCCTGGTTCAATTCCCAGCACCCACCCTCCCAGCAGTTCACAGCTGTCTGTACATTCAGTTCCAGGAGATGCAACACCCTCACACAGACATGCATGCAGGCAAAACACCAATGCACATAAAACAAATTTTTTTTAAAATACAAATAAAGTGTGACAGGCAAGATGATTCAGTGGATAAAGCAGAACTCTATTTTAGCAGAACAGACCAGATCAGAAAAGGCTTCAAGTATTAGAGTAACAAACACACTCCATTCTCTTGGAAAGGTGGGGGGCATTTTTGTAATGCTGAGGATGAAAGAGCTCTGTGTCTGCCAGGAAAGTGTGCTAGACCCCGAGTCCTTAGAATCTTCAGAAAAAATTCTACAACAGCAGTGTGTATGAAAATTGTTTATTTGAAAGACTGGCACGTCCAGATAAGGAGTAGTCACCGATTTAAGCTAGGGAGGCAGCAGTGGGAAGAGAAAGGGAGCTGCAGTGCATAGGGAGGGAGCTCAACAGGACTTTCTGGCTACTTGGATCATGGGGGAAAGGGAGGGGGATGAAACCTGGAAAAGTGGAAGATCTGGGGAGAAGAAATCAGGGCCTTCATTCCGTGGAAGAGTGTGTGCTTAATCTGTGCAGCACCAAAAAGAAAAAGGGCC